CTAAAGAGGTTATAATTTCATTGTATAGGACACTGGTTAGGCCACATTTAGAGTATTGTGTTCAGTCTTGGGCTCCTTACTTGTTGAAAATGGTTCAGATGAGGGTTACTAGAATGGTGCCTGGGATGGAGGGGTTGTCATATGTGGATAGGTAAAGATCTCTGAAATTGTTTTCTCTCAAAGAAAGAAGAGTCAGAGAGGATCTGATTAAGGTGTTTAAAATTGTAAAGGGAATTAATAGCGTTGATGCATCACCTTTTTCATACTTAATGGAGAAAATAGTAGGACTAGGGGACACAAATATAAAGGTAGGAGTCATTTTCAGCTGAGATGGTTTTATTTTTGTAATGGAGTGTTTGGCATCTGGAATAGGTTAACTTTGGAAGTTGTGGAGGCAGTAAATTTAATACAGCTCAAGATTGATTGATAAATATATGAATGATAAGGGTTGGCTTTAAGATTTTTTTTTTAAATTTATTTATTAATAGTTTTAGTTTAGGTTAGAGGATGGGACAGCCGAGATGGAACAATGGGTCCCATGTTGTCTCAAACAAAACCATGTAACTTACTGATTGTATATTGATTTTTATTGCTGTTTGAAATAACAAATAATTGTGTTTCTATATTGGTTTTTACAACCACTTGAAATAATGAATAATCATATCATTTTTTAACACTAATTATATTTGACAATTGTGTCTGGTATATATATTTTTCGCTTACATTTTCAACTTACAATTTAGCTGTTAACATACATAGCAAGTGCTCATTTGCTGTCTATCTAAAAATTACTATGACATAAACACGAGAAACAATATATTTCAAAGTCTAAATGCCATAATTTAAAAGACAAGTTAATGTACAGATGCAAATATGTTATTTTCAGTGGTTCTGAAAATAATATATATAAATCTGCAACAAATAGAATGTACAGTTTTTACAGCTACATAATTATAAGTTATACTTTGAACTACGGAATTATATACACAAGTTGTTTCATAAAATTAAAGTTTCTTTAAACCAACAATCTTGGGTATAAATAAAGTAAAACAATACGCAGCACAAAAGCCAGGAAGAGAAGTATTCCAACAGAGATGATTTAGGTAGAGTGCTCATTAGGAACAAACAAGGGTGAAATGGGCAGGATCTGCCAAATTCAAAATGACACTTATAGAGGAAGCCATGGAGGACTATTCTTTGATAGATTGTTTAGGCAGAGTATTCATGATGAAACTGAATGGACAGCAACTGCCTGTTGTAGAAACACAAGTGTAGATGACGACATTTCTAAAGTCTTCTGCCTTTAGTCTGTAGGTCCCGAAGATGAAAAGCCAGAAGACTTTTTAAATGCCATCCTCTACACTTGTGTGTCTACAACAAGCAGTTGCCGTTCATTCAACTAAGTTAATCATGAAGGACTAGTTTACATAAGTAGTTCTGGTCCCTTGTTTACGGAAGCTGGTCCATAACAGCTCTTTAGGTATTCTTTCATAGGTGACTTAAGTAGAGTATTCATGATGAAAACAAACTAAACAGAAATGGGCAGTGATATCCTAGTTCAGTTGTTACTTGAAAAATATCATCTACTTGAGCAACTTTTGTTAATCAGTCTTCAAAGACTTTCTCTACAGGTGTCACTCTGAACTAGGAAGTTGCTGTCCATTTGACCTGTGTTTGTTCAAGTAAAGAATATCGACATAAATACATTAACTTACAGGGGAGTTGGATATAATATGTGTGACTTCAGAGATCTTGGCAAAATAAGAAACTATCACGGATGGAAGGAAATCATATGCATCTAATTAATTTAGTGTACAAAGTAAGCAAGTACTATATTATTCAATTTGAAGTGTATTATATTTCAAATGTGAAGTTTAACTTTTATTTATAAACCAACTTACCTTGTTCATCATTTTTGGAACATTCTGAAAACAGGTCTTTAGATCCCGTATTTAGTCTGTCTCTGTGAAAGTAGTGGGACTGAAAAAACCTTGTCCAAAACTCACTTTCTGACAGTTTGTGAGGGACATTTTCCAGGTGTTTTCTCTTAACTAGAAAAACGTTAAAAATGTTGCATATATTTTAAGTTAATTAACCCCCTTCTAAACTAACTAGCTCCTTTTTTATTAACAAACCAGTAATCTCAAAAATATTTAATTAACTTTTTGGGCATTTTAAAGTATTCATCCACAGTTATGTAGTATTTAACCTTTTGAATTTAAAACATTTTCCTTACCTGAAAATGTAAATCAGATAGTTTCTCACCTCACTTCACAACAAAGACTTGTTACCTTACACCACTGCCATGAAGATTTTTGTTCATGACACAATCCTAAACATATTAACATGTATCATGCCAACCTCTGATGTAATTATCATTAGACTACAGCTCTCCACCAACAGAAAGGCAATACACCCTCCATGTGCAGTAAGCTTCATAAGCACTAGCTGTTAACAAAGGCTCATTCTTGACAAGGCAAAATAAGTACATATCAAAAGTGAGGAGGTTGTGTAGAGAGAAGAGTAACATTCTGAAATACATTTTCAGGTAAAGAAACGGTTAACTTCAGAAACATTTACTCTTTTCTCTGTACAACAAAGAGCTAGAATCTTACATTAAGAGGATAGTGGCAGATAAAGAAATTACAAAGCTATTGTAAAAAAAAAAATGTTGATAAAATGTTGCATAAGTGGGTGGAATATAAGATTCCTCAACCAGCTATTACCTCACAGGTGGTGGACTGCATACGTGTGTGTAGTGTGGACAGTGCAATAAGTTAGGCCATTTCATATTGGAAAAATACTTACATGAGATACTTGCCAGAGTAATTAGATGCAGGGAGAAAATATCACAGACCTGAGAAGAACACATGACCCAACCATCTGAAATGGCTTGGCTCATTGTGTAATTGGGTGGCCTGTACTACACTTGTTTTTCTTGTGAAGTACGGCCTAGAAGATATAACATTTTAAGTTAAATTAACCCCTTCTAAACTAACTAGCATGGAGTAGGGACAGATAGGCTTAGCACTTTCTATACTTCCCTGATCGATGCAGATTTTTGGAAAAAAGAAGCATTCCCTGTGTGGGATCAATGGACACTTGGTGGGTCACATCGTCTAAACTAACTAGCTCCTTTTTTATTAACAAACCAGTAATCTCAAAAATATTTAATTAACTTTTTGGGCATTTTAAAGTATTCATCCACAGTTATGTAGTATTTAACCTGGTAAATACATTAGGGGAGAGGGAAGAACTAGGGAAGAAATGTCATAATTCTCATACTAGGGGATGATTTTTTAGATATTAACTTATAAAATTAAGAATTTATAACTTATATAATATTAAAATTTGATATATATTAACACTTTCCATATGTGGTTAGTTGATGTGACTGACTTTGTAACAACAAAATAACCATCAGAGTTTCTACACTATAACTTTTAATAAGTTTCATGTATTTTCACAAAATTTAGCAATCTCTCAGTAAATATTACAAGTCTTTTGTACATAAAAAAATCAGATTTTTTTATTAAGTATTTTTACTAAAGATTTGTCCATAAATACAAGATGTCAGAGGTTGACCGCTCCAAGTGCAAAGTGATTTTCATGTTAAGTTTAAAAATATTTTTCTTCATGTGAAAATTAAAATTTCCTTTGTGTAATCTTTAAAATCTCCTAAATAAATATCAAACGTTTTTTTTTTCAGTAATACTTTATATTTGTTACTAGTTAAGCAAAAAAAAGCTCCACAATTGGCTATCGGTGCTGTGTCCACATAGGTACAGAATCCTAGTTTCTAAGTCTCAGACTTATGACTGTGCCACTGTGACCAAACTTTATATATATTATCTATTATTTTCTCTACCCTAACTCTATATGCACTCAGTCAATTTAAGTGATCTTGTAACCACCATAAAAAATTTTAAATAAATCTGATTTTCCCTTTTTATTCTTTCTAGAATGCCTGTAAATTGCAATAAGATACTACAATTGTTTATCCTAAATAACTTAAAGTTTGTAACAGTCAACATCTTTTCAAACTTAATTTTATTATTTAATTGCCCTTTTAACCATATTAAACTAATAATCCCACCACACAAGTTGTAAATCACATGGTTCATGTTATTGTATTGAATGACAAAATGCACAAGCTGCTTGTGAGCATACCTGGTAAAAAATGTATATTATTATTTTCCATTGTCTTACCTAATCTAACCAAACAACTTTCTAATTTTTACATTTTAAAAATATAATGGTTACCTGTAACCTCTTGTTTTGTTGTTGTCGGTTGCCAATGAAATTTAAGCCTACTTTTTTATACTAATGGTACTAGTCCGCTGAATAATTTTTTTCTCTGCTTAAACAATGCACTTATAAAAACAGAATAATAACATGCACAAAGCAAACAATGACCTATAACTATCATAATTTACCTGACTTTCTGACTATGGCATAAGAGCCTTTAAATACTTTGCCAATCTTGTCAATCTGAAAACCATGAGGTAAATTTTCAAACTTAAAACGAAATAGTCAATAACCTGTACTGAAAACAACATAGTACACCATTGGATATACTCAAACTTTGCCTTTCTACTGGTTATAAAATAATACAGTATAAAACTTCAGAGAAAACTATTGGCAGTTTGTAAAAGAAAGGATGTGACAAGTGGGTCTGATATTCTAGTTTATTACTCTGTAAACAAATAATATTAAAGGCTATAAAAGTTAGACTTTGCCTTAGTAATATCTATATTATAATGAGTAATTTACATCAAATTCCACACTTCTTAGAGGGATGGTAAATACATTAGGGGAGAGGGAAGAACTAGGGAAGAAATGTCATAATTCTCATACAAGGGGATGATTTTTTAGATATTAACTTATAAAATTAAGAATTTATAACTTATATAATATTAAAATTTGATTTAATAACTACGTTTTGATGCCAATTTTATTTGTATACATTTATAATAAAGTAGATTAAATTTTGCATGTAACTCTCTAAAAAAGTTGTAACATGAGCACTTTGATCTACACATAGCGAGAGGGTTAATGGTGATGAGGGAGAAGTAAAGAAAAGAAATAATAACAAAACAATTAATACTCACCTCACTAGAGTCCCTGTGAAGACTGGAGAATGGCCAAAAGAGGTAATTGAAAATGCCATGTGAGGTAAGTAATGGACCATAAATGTTTAAGAGGTTGTACACATCCTCATCTACAAGATTTCATCCATGGGATATTGACAGTAACAGGCAAGAGAACCATGAGATGAAGAGCCTGATGGGAAGATAACCGATAAGATCAACAGGCATCTTCTCCCATGGAAGAATAAACAAGCTAGATGAGTTGACGAACCCAACTGTTCAGAGAAGAAGAAGAGGAATACCACATCAAGAAAAAAAATGATGGCAACTGCCAGATGTGGAAGCAGGATGTATGAGGTAACACCAAATTGCCTGAATAGGACACACAAGACTATTGTATAAAAAAGAACTGGTAAGAAAAGTGATTGGAGAAAACATCCAATCACCCTCCTGAGCAGCTCAAGTCTTTTGGAGAAAGAAGAGTGGCCAGGGAAAGAGATGGAAGGTCGTTTATGAAGATTCTCTTTACCCAACAATCATGGAAATGGACAAAGCACTTTAAAAATTCAGATAAAAGAAGGAAGTGAGATAAGAAAGAGTATGACAACTTGAAGGAAGCTAGCACTGAATGGATCAGCAGTGGTAAACCATTCATTTTATTGATAAAGTGCAATGGTAGAGAGCCAGCAAGAATGAGCCACAAAACAGGCAAACCCTTGAGAAAAGCTAATCCATTTTGCAAGGAAACTGAACAAATCCCACTTGTGAAGAAGAAGGCATGACACCTCATTGTGAAAGAAGAACAACTGAGGCTGTCACAAAATGGACTTACAAAAAAAGGAAGACTCCATGGATGTCAAAAGGTACAAGAATGAAAACTAACTATGCCAGCCAAAGAGAAGCAATTAGAACATGTTGTTAATAAGATCAGAATTTTTGCTAAAAGTTGAAGTGGAAGATAGGCATAATGAAAGAAATTGGTCCAATCCTGACTAAGAACATATACTGCCAGAGCTCCCAAGTATAGAATTGGTGGCCAAAAAGGATGAAGTTTGGTTTTGAAGGTAGTTGCACTAAAACACCAAAGAATGAATGATCAATTCATTTGGAAGAATCTGGTGTAAGTGAGATAGTCAATCCACTAACTAATTCAAAGCTCCTGGAACATGACAGGTTGACAGTCAAATGTGGTGGCTGTGGGCCCAAAACAGAAATTAAAGAGCTAGAAAGCAGAGGTTCAGAGTTCAAGTCTTTCCCTATTGGTTGATGTAAGACAATACAGTATACTTGTCCAAATGGATTATCACAAGATGACCTGCGAGATGAGACTGAAGATGATAGCAAGCTCAATAAACAGCCAACAGTTCCAAGACATTGATATGAAGAGACTGCATCTCTGGAGACCCATATCCTGGGTATGGTGTAAGTGCCCAGAACTGACCCTCTAGTTGCAGGTCCAGGCAATATGGGGGAAGAGCTGCCCAGTGTCATGTGGGATCAATCAAATCACCATGACAATGTAGGGAAAGATACCAGAGACAATAGAGAATCTCTGAACATATCCTATTGATTGGTCAGGTTTTCACTGATGGGAATTCATATAAGCACACTCGAGAGGAACAAGAGACTATGGTGAGGCTAGAATTCTCAAAGCAATAGAACTTCTCAAGCAAGAAGACTAGGAGACATGAGAACTTTAGTAACCAGAAGTTCCATGTCTGGACAATTTATAGGAGGTATGTGGCTGAGCCCACTCAACACCTACGTTGAAAAACTCTCTCAGGTGAACCAAATACTAAGTGGGGATCAGGATAGACTTGAAGAACTTAACTAGAAAACCCTATGAACACTTTATTGGACATAACAAGAAGGAGCTAGTTGTCTATATAGTAGTAGAAATAGAGACTTAATGAATGGATTCACCATATTAATGCTCTCATGACCAAATGAAAAATGTATGAGAACATGGATAACCCAAGATAAGCAGCCATAATGAAAAATCTAATTGTAATGGATGAATTGGAGAAAGCAATGAGAGATTAAACAAATTGGAATATGGAGAAAATCATTCCAAACATCAGTTTTGGTCATTCAAAAACCAGAAAAGAACACCCACCGCAGATTGAGAAAACTGTCCATCTTGATCCAACAAGAGACCTATGACAGGGGTCAAATCTTCTGTCTTCTTGAGAACAACAAAAAGAGGAGAGTTAAAAATGTTGATAGGGGTTGAGAACCTGTTTTATGTTCATAAACCATAGAGAAAATACAGGTTCCTCTAGGCAGATAGGATTTGAGGGAGAAGGAAAGACAACCATACAAGGATAAAAAAAGAGATTGAGTGCTATAAAACAAGAAACTAAAGAGAGAGAAATGAGCTCCCAAAAGCAAGTCACCTCCATGATCTGCAATGGCCAGTCTTCCAAGAGGAGTATGTCAATAAGAAGCAAGAAGACAAGAAACAGGAGAGGGGCAACCCCTTGAGACATTTGAGGTCGAGAAATCTGTAAGGGCTCCCTGAACCAAGAAGTTTGGAAATCCAGTTATCAGAGAAAACTGCTGATAAGTAACCTCAGCTCATACTAAATTGTAAGAACACCTACAAAGATCTCATCTCAAAGGTAGGGAGCTAGATGGAGGTCCTTGGGATATGACTGAGGTAGACATACACCCAAAAGTCAGGCTTTATAACAAAGTAAATCCCCAAAACAAAGAAATCAGTCAAATGGGATGCCACAGAGAAAAAAATTGAGGAAAAGGTGGAAAAGCGAACGAAAGAAATGTCCTCAGTGAAGTTCTTGGGGTAGCAATGGAGAGCCTCTGAGAGGAGGTGATGTGTAGACACATAGTAAAGGAGCTGAGTAAAAGCAAGACAAAGATGAGCAGATTAAAAACGAGTAAAAGACAAAGCAGGAGAAATGGAAGCCTCTAGTTGGAAGGAATGATTCAAGGAATTGAACCTCAAAGAAAGCAGAATCTTGACCACAGGCCATAGAAAAAATGTCACAAAGCTGAGGACAATGAGTCTGCTGGGAGTCAGTGAGAAGTTGAGAAAAAAGGTATCAGCATGAACATTAATATCAGAAGGAGGAAGCTCATGAAACAAAAGTAGCCCAATAACTGTCAAAAACAACTTTTGACTGTTAGAGTACCTCCATTTGCCATTTAAACAGCAGGAGTGGGCTCCAGAAATGGAGCACCAGTACCTAAAGAGATAACATAAATGTGGATCTGGGAATTCATTGTCAAAATGATCCACAAAATGTTGTTATTTTTATGAAGAATAGTAGTAAGTTGAATTGACAGTAAAAATACTTTATTACAAACAAGATGAGTGAGACAATAAGGTTTAACTGCAATTGCAAAAACAAATTTGAACAAATCTGAAGACAAGGAGTGCCAAGAATAGAATGAGCCTTTGTTCAAACACTAGTGCTCATACAGATTTCTGAGGAATAGAGGATATATCGTCCTCCTACTGGGGAAGGGCTGTAGTCTAACAAAGATTACATCATAGACTGGCACAGTATAGATTAGTGGTGGGAGTTTCATTCAAGACTTGTGGCATGCACAAAAATATTTTTGGCAGTGGTACAAAGTAACAGCTCTTTGTTGGGTAGGGAGAGGAGTAAGTATTGCTGATAAAGCAAATCAACTATAAAATGAATACTGTTAGGACTACAGCTTTTTGCTTATCATTATTTGTAAAACGTACATTCTCAGTAACAAAGCAAAAAAGTAACAAGGAAGCTTTCAACTTTTAAACTTGTAAGATGGAAAAATACAAACTTTTTATGATATTTTATACTACTGTAATGTTAGATATTAATTCACTACTTCTTTAAGTAAATATAATTTTACACACTTACCGGCTGGATATGTTCTGAATATTGATTCAATAATATCTGCTGTAATGTTGTATTTAAGGCCATTACATCCATCTGTTTGAGGTTTAATATCGGCAAGAAAAGCTGCTGAAACTCCAACATCCTGCTTTACAGACTGTTTAACAGTAGCTTTTCTTTGCTATAAGGAAAAAATAATACTTAAATACAGATATATTTATTGTACACATTCTTATAAGTACAATACTCCTTTCCCTACTAAGAGTTTCTGTACACATGTAAAACCCATTAAGGTCTCTACCAGTTATAAGAGATTGAAATTGTACTTGAAAATAAAGTGGAGTCATCTTTCAAAAAGTATCTAAAATATAAAATCTACTAAGGTATTGGCAAAAATCATAAATAATATTCAACGTTAAACTGGTACACAATTAAAAACATTTTATTTAGGCCTTCAAAAAGTTGACAACTCTACATGTTTCGATGTTACAACGTCATCCTCCTGTTTTTAATTGTGTACCAGTTTAACGTTGAATATTATTTATGATTTTAACTTTATACACAAGTGCCAAAATACTATAATTAAGGTACTGGCAAGTTTCAAGTGTTTCAAACTAATTTTAGTCCTGAAGCAGTATGATAATATTAGAACAAGTAAAAATCTTTGGTGACAGTTGGTCAAATATGCTGCAGATGTTCTGACTGTTTTGACTAAATTTTATGTTTTTTTTAGAATTAAGTTAATTTCAAACAGATACTTATGAAATACTAAAAGCCTTTCCTTTTTCAGCTGCTCTCATGTTGTCAGTAATTATGTGACTTTGAATCCCCTTGACACAATACAGACTATAAATCAAATTAAAAAGAGTTCTCCATTCTTCCAACTTCCAAGCAACTTATTAGGTATGCATCAGGAGAACATAGATAAGCTCTGTTTTCCCACCACAATCCAGATTTCTTAAATGTAGTCTTGATGGTAAACCAGTTACATCTTGGCTGTGGAAATGTGGGTGGAAATGTATTTCAAGGTAAGTCATCTGTTTAAAATTTACTTTAATCATAAAAATGTAAAAATTCAAATCAGGAGATTTGTCTCTTAAAATACTAAAAGCCAGAATACCTACAATAAGATGGAGGAGGGAACAGGAGAGAGTTATAAGAACCATCAATAACTGGGTTCATTGGCAGTAAGATAACAGTGTGGTATACAGGCACACCATATTCCCATAACTTCTACAGTAACATAAAAATATTACAAATTATTGATAATTTAGTTTTAGCACTGTCATGGCAGTGCTTCAGGATGTCTAACATTATATATATATATTTTTTTTAGTCACTTCCGCCCCTTGTTCTTTTGTTAGATGATGTCCTCTGCCCACAAGGATATTTCAGTCCTTAGCCTTGAGCCTGGGTTGAATTAGTTAAAACTAAAATATCCTTTACTGGCCAAACTATGACATCAACTAAAACTGGTAGCTGGCAATTGCTATCAGGGAACAGAGCTCAAATAGCAATGCCATCCACTGAACAAAGAATGTGAGAGACATTTCAAAATCCAGGCCCACCTCTTTGTTCAGTTTTACTTGGCTGTCGTTGTGACTAGTCCAGCAGAGTTTCATCTTGATAGACCTAAATGTAGTAGAGGCAATCATTCACTTGAACTGTTTGTTTTTTATGTTGTGCCTAAATAAAAATTGTTTTCACTGTAATTTAAATATGTCCAATCTGGTTATTTCACATGCATCTTAAAATTCAGTCAAGTTATCATTTCTCATATTTCTTTATTAAATCTGATATTATTAGTGGGTTTGCCCGTCTGATTCAAGTCGGGAAATTGGTTTTACCTAAAAATGACCAAACGACGTAAAGTGGAAGATGTGATCAAGTACAGTTTGAATAAAAGCAACAGATGGGACACACATTAAGAAAATCATTCATCTCAGAAGAGTACTCACTCCCTAGACACCACTTAAGTAATATATAAAATGGGGGAGGCAATAAATAAGTACATGCAAAAACCATGTACACTTGGGTATTATTACTTATCTTATCCATGTGCATGCACATATTTTTAACGAGGCAAGCTAGCAAAAAACCACACAGAAAAGAAGTGGTTCTTTATATAACAACTTCTAATATATAGAAAAGCCAGTGTGTTTTGGAAACATTGCATTCCAACAATGCCTTTTATGTCATGTTGCTTAGCAACAAAAGTATATAGGTTATACTTTTATGTTAAAATGGGTTCAGAATACACACACTAACAACCTAATAACCCGAGTGAAGCTGGATACTTTTGCTAGTACAATTAATAAAATAAATATGATTTGTGGGAAAGATTATAGTGTGAACAAGTTGCTGAGGGTTCAAATGGGGGAAAAGCCAAGAATTGCATAACTGAATCTGAGTCTAATTTAGAAGAATATCTAAGAAGTTCGGGATGACAAAAGGCTCAGAAAAGGTCTTTGAACAATGAGGGCAAAAATATTGAGGGCTTCAATGACATCTGAAGGTGACAAATAAAGCAGCTCTATATCCAGCCATGGAAGAAGTTAACAAGCCATGATCACGAAACAAATAGATAAGGAAAGAAGTAACTTGATGTAGAGTTGTAAGTTAACAATATATACTATGATTAAGGCACCAACTCTGAAAAGTAGCCCAAAAAGATTGATGAACAGTAAGGAAAGAGCATCAACAAGAACAGACTAACAACAGAGGCATCCAGATTCTTATAAAAAAGAACCAACTGTGTGCTATAAATGTCAAGTATCATTGTGGTAAGAGGACAATAAGGATGTCAAAGACATTTCCATGGTGATGATGGCACTGGTTTCCTGTGAGAAAGTAATGATAGGAGAAACAATTGCTGAGTTGGCCATAGTGATGAGATAAGGAGAACCATGGTCTTCAAGTAACTGACCTTGGCAAGTACTCGATGAAGAGAGAAGAATAGGAATAAAGGAAGTACTCCCACGAGTGACCCAGGATATCCACTGTCAGAGAATTTGGATCTGGAACTCAAGACCAGTAATGTGGAAGAAATGGTTGAATGATGTACAAAAGGCATCAGTCATTGGGCAACCAGCCTTTAGCATAACCATTGAAAAACCAAAAGGTGGAAGATCCACAGCAATGAGCTGCAGAAAGACAGTCTACCAAAATGTTCTTCCTACCAGGAATATGACAGACTAAAATGCAAACAAGGTGAGAGTGGAACCAAGGAAATAGTGAAATTCACAAAGCAAAGCCTGCAAAAAGAAGTATCACTCCAACTGTTGATGTAAGGATGTCTTTGGTAGTAGGTGTGGAAGACATAAAAGTAAGTACATGAAAATTCAAGGCTAATAATGCAACAGGAGATGGCTGAAGTACTTTGTGCCTTGCTGATCCAAAATCCCAGATGAACCAAATACGTTGATGGTAATAAATGGAAAGTGGAACTTTAAATAATCCACCTAAGAGAAGTAGCCAGCTGGGTGTGTGGTGATTAACTATTTGTAAAAGACTGAATAGGCATGAAGGCTAGAGTAAGCCAGTCATGCACTAAAAGTGTAAACCAATGTTAAGTCAATAGAGAAAACCTGCACAAACTACTAGACTACTTAACAGAAAGCATTACAGAGCTGAGGCCAAGCCAATGGAAACTACCCCTGGATGACACAAAAAAAAAGAAATAAAAGGATGATGAACAAAAAGGGAAAGGAAGGTAAGAATCCTGTATATCCACTATCATCATTCAATGGCTACTACAATGAAGAAATCTGCATGACAACCTTATACTTTAAACTTTAAATTAGGTGTCTTCAGAAAAAGATTAGTTGAAATAGATATATGACAGGTTTCCAATTTCCTGATATCTTTGGAACCACAAAAATATGAAAGTAAAATCCTGGGGAAGCATGATAAACAATTTTGAATGCTCCTTTCTTAAGTAAAGTTGAGACTTCTTGATCCTGGATTTGTGAAACTGGGTCAGAAGGCAAAGACATTATAACCGGACTGAAATTTTCAGTTAAATTTAAGTATCCTACAGATAAACTAATGATTGGAAATGACCACCTCATAGTCTAGATTGGAAATTCTTTCAGAACAGGAGAAAGTCACGGAGTGAGTCAAGAAGACCCATCTTGCTTTGGTCTACTTTGGACCATTTGGTAGCATTGTAATGAATAAGAAGAAAACACTGGTGTTGGTTGAGAAGTAAAAAAGGATGGGAAGGTGAAAAGATGAACATTATTTGCCAGTTATCTCAAAAGGACTGACTACCAGAAGGAAGTTGAAATACTAAAACCTTAACTAGCTTCTGCTGAGATTCTTCTACTGAATGGGAGACCAGTGATACAAGGAAAAATACTATTTCAAAATCAGTTGAATGTTGGGGGGGAAAGGAAGATAAGCACTTTGAACAAACCATGATGGGCTAAGGTGTCAAAGGAAACTAAAAGCCATGTGGCAATAGAAACTATCTTAGTGAAGGCTACAGCTAAGGAAGATTGCAGAGTAAAAATTTCATTCTCACTAAAAAAAAGTCAGAAGAATGACATAAATAATCATTGAAAAAGAAAGTACCAAAATGTCACAAATCACAACATGGAGGGTAGAAAACTGTCACTGGGTCAAAGTAAAAAACTACATGGAAAACCCTACCAAAAAAATTTTCTGAAGGCCATTAAGTAGATGAAGATGACCTTGCTAGTAGGCTATTGAAATTTATGTTATTTTTAAAAGCATAAACAGTGACACAAAAATCAGGAAAAGGTGGGAAAACAAAGGTTTAAGAAATGAATAGTCTAATATGACATTAACACCCATAGCCATAACAGAAATCAATTTAAGGTTTAAGGTAGAAAATACCTGAGAAAAAAAAAATCTGACTAGCAAAATCCTCTTTGGAATAAGAGCTGACTGATAAATCTTACTTTTTAAGAAAATGAAGTAGAAAAGGACTGAGCAATTTTTTTTTATCATCAAGAAAAAAGGGTAATGTTCACAACTGAGTGTTCACATCAACGTGAAATCCACCACAGGGCCAACAGTAGACAACACAGAGTTTAAGGCCTGCATATGTTGATCAATAAAGGCTGACAACATGACCATGCAATCTCCCTGCATGTTAGAAGCAAAATACTACATTAAGGCCTAAAAAAAAGTTGTAAAATTTCTGATATTGGTAGAAACATTTATAGAAGTAGTTAACACTGACTTTAGAATTAATTGTGATCTAAGTCTTAACAGCATGAATGTAAAGAAGAAAACCTAATCCATGATGGGAAAGCGAGTTCATGTTTGTTTTCCTAACACATTAAGTTTGTGGAAAGTTGGAAAACAGAGAACTCTGGGTAAGATGACATATGCTCTGCATTGTCTCAAGGGTATTCAGAAACATAAGTTACGTGACTGCTGACAGCATAAAAGAAAACTCAACAAGGCTTTTCGTATTTCAGGGGTAAGTCTACAGGATTTGAATATCATACACAGGCTTTGAAGTTTTTTTAGTAAAATTATCTTTGATTTTTTTTTAAAGAAATTTGTGGCAATCTTTTCTTTTCGAAATTAAGTCTCAAGATGAACATTAATTAAAGTTGTGCTTGCACGTCTCTAAAACACACTATTCCTATTACATTATAAATTCAATTGTTATTGTATCTTATGCTAATAATGTGACTTTTATTTTCTGAAGTGAAAGTTTTTATTTCCCCTTATCAGTCTCACAGAATACAATATTTTTTTCACTTACAGCAGCATGGTTGGCCCAGAACTCCTCAGGAGTAATGACTTGACTAACAACCAAATCTCTATAAAGCTGGAAAAGCTGGGGGTCCTCTTGTAGCATTCTTTATTAAAAGATATTCATATTCACACAAATGTAGGTTTACAAGGAATAAATATAATGATGTAGGAAATATTAATAAGCAGTGTAAAATAAAACTTCAATAATTTCTTTAAGGTGAAACACTGTAGTTATCATTCAAATCTATTAAATATTTTGCAAAAGAAAAATAATAAAACTTCTCCTCTAACACTTTAAAACTGTATAACACAGAGTAAATTCTAATAAAATAAAATGTATACATTATTCAGAGCCTTTGATATTTAGTGCATATTATCTAGTAACAAATTATTTTATGCACATGTACAGGAATGAGAAATAAACATGTGGTAAACAATTCAGTCTATCAATACTATGATTTAACCACACATTTCAATAAATTGATATTTAAATAGAATGTATTTAATACTGTTCAAAATAATTTAATATTTTACACAGGCTATAATTTATAAGTCATACACAGAAAAAACTCAATATATAAGAAGTTATGCCTTTTTATTAAAGCTGAATGTCAAAAAAACCCTTACAAGTAAAACTTTGTTGCCATCACACACAAAAAGTAAAACATCTATGAATGACGAACAAGATATAAAGTGCTAACTCCTTTAATGCTGCAAAGAGAGCTAAGATGAAGAAATATGTAAAATGTCAAGTAAATGGATATGCATATAACAGTGTGGCTAAACTATACTATGATTTATTATTCCTGCTAATCAATAGTATTACAGGTGCAATTCAACAGTTATAAAACACAAAAGTAGAAAATCTGATATGAAGATATACTGTTCTGTGAAGTACATAACTCTGTCTGCACGAATAAAATCTATCACAAAAATATAGTAGTAACTTTTTTTTATATTTTAAGAATTAAAATGAATTTCAATCTTGCATCCTTATCGAGTTTCAACTCATTCTGTCAACAAAACATGTGACTAAAAAATTTAATGAAGGAAAAGTTTATTGCTATTATGAGCACACTTTTAACAATATAGGTATTTTCCTTCAATAAGTGAATGCTGATTGAGAACTAATGTCCATTAACATGATTTTCATATTTGGTAATCTGAAGAACTATTAACGAATTATTTTGAACCTTGTACCCTAATAATTTACACAAAACTAATGTTTCATGTTTCACGTGAGAAATCACTGTGAACTAATATTGTCTGGAATGAATTTCAAGTTTGGTAACCTGAATCAGTATTTGTGACTTATATCAAACCTTGTACCTTAATGAAGTTTTCTATTTAACACAGAATCTCTCCCTCAAACAGAGGCACTTCTGTAGCAAGGATTAGACATAAAAAATTTGGGATTTATCCAGTTTTGGGGAAACTTATATAGCATGTAGCACACAGTTATGACTGTCCACAACATCAACAGAAACCCCATAGTTAATGACAGTACTTGTTGTTGTGTAACTGACAGGACAGCTACATGAGTCTTCTACCTGTTGTTGCATCTGATTCTAGACCAAAGCCAAACAGATCTTCAGCAGATAGCTCCATGCCCCGCTGACTGTGACTGAATCTTTACTACTCTTTGGAATGTCATCATTAATCCCCATTATTCCCTCGATTACCTGCATGTGCAAGGTTCTGAAATGCTCAACTTGCAACCTGTGCAGCTGCTGTGGATGCAATTACGATGGACTTTTTTGACAGCACTCGTTGAGGCAAATCAATCAATCAAGCCCAAAGACGCTGTGACAACACTCAAATATAGGTTTGGTACTGTAGGACAGTAGTGATAGTAGTAACAGCCGTTTGTCAGATCAGAAGATCAAGAACAGGGTCTCCAAACTCAAATAGACAATGAAGAAGGGCCACATTATTTTATTTGATAATAAAAAAAAAATTCATGTGTGTGACCATTGTTGATAAGGTAGTGCAACCACTCTAAAACCCTGTGTTTCTTTGACTGCTCATAACTCTTCAAATAAAATAAGTTACCATCATATAGATTGCATATTTGAATACAACAGATTCAAACTTTTCAACAGTTTATACAACACCTCCAAGTAACAATTAACGGAATTTCTTGTTACTTGCCCTTCCATCCCAAAACATTACTTCTCCTTTGGTTGAGGAAAAAAATCCTGTGTTAAAAAACAAAAAAAGACTAAACAATGAAACAATCAAGTGTGTAATTACTGTGAAAGTTAACATTTTCCTAAATTAAAAAATGTATTTCTAATAATACTTACCTCTGCTTACACTTACAGCTATTACTCAACCTCCAGGGTTTCTTCCTTTGCCCATCTTAGCATTAGTCTGATTTTTTCTTCCTTGCCTCAGTCTGCTATACCCCACTCAATTGCCCTTGGCGATATTTGTCTCGTGATACTCTCCACCTACCTCAATGTGCCCTCTATCTGATACTGTATATAAGCACTTCATTTAGATAATATTATCACTACCATCCCAGTCTCTAACACTGGCACTTAGTGAGGAGGAAGGATGGGAGAGGGTCAGCAGAGGTAAGTATTAGTGGTTTGTTTGTTTTGTTTTGAATTTTACGCAAAGCTACACGAAGGCTATCTGCACTAGCCATCCCTAATTTAACAGTGTAAGACTAGAGGGAAGGCAGCTAGTCATCACCAACCACCGCCAACTCTTGGGCTACTCTTTTGCCAACGAATAGTGGGATTGACCGTCACATTATTATGCCCCCATGGCTGAAAGGGCGCGCATATTTGGTGTGACGGGGATTTGAACCCACGACCCTCAGATTGCGAGTCGAGCACCCTAACCACCTGGCCATGCCAGGCCTAAGTATTATTGGAAATACATTTTCAATTTAGGAAAATGTTAACTTCCAAAACATACTTATCTCCACTGACACTTATAGCTAGAATCCCACATTGAGAAGGTGAAGGGGCCGGTGAGGGCATTATTCATACAGAAAGCGACAAGGGCAATTGAGTGGGGTATAAAATACTGGAGCAACCGAGAAAAAATCAAACCAATGCTTAGATGGGCAAAGACGACACCCTGGAGGTCGAGTAATAGCTATAAGTGTCAGCAGAGGTAAGTATGTTTTGGAAAATGTTCTTTCCAACTTTTAAGAGATCAATGGGAAATAAACATAATGTTTGACCACGTCCATCCAAAACAAAACTATTTCTCTACTTGTACAATATACTAAGTAGTATATCAACCAAGTGGAATGATTACTTTATTCTCATGATTCCAGTGCATTTTTTCTCTTATTTTCTATTAATGATTTCTATTAATTTTGAGTTAGGAGGAAAACTCATAACGTGCACATCAAACATTTTGTTTGGTTGTGGTATCTTGTATTTGAGTGTACAAATTTATGAAATGTAAAACCATTCAGGATCACTTCTGCTATCCTACAGTTACATAATCTGCCTAGAATTCTCATAAATGAGGTTAAGTACAAAGAGTTCTGAATGAATCTGATGCCCGTGCTGGGCGTCTCAATGACTGGGAGGTTTAACCTATTCTACAGCATGTGATACTCACCAAACACCTTTAGTACAAAAGACACTTTGAGCCAAAAGGTCTTATCAAAGATGAAAAACTGACTGACTTATCTAGTAAAAGACACTAGATCTAGTGATACTTTCAAAACCTGGATATATGGGGGCAAGTATTAAAACTTGATGATATTGCTCCCAGGCCCCTACTAAACAGAAAACCTTAGCAAATAAACACTACTGTTTGAGATGGAGCTTTAAAAGATGACAGAACCATTCTACAAATACCTTTCCCTTTAGAGTGCATAGTACTATCTACACCCACCCCTCTCTTACACGTACGATGGCACTATTCAGACTACCCAATTCCTAATTTCATTTTTGCATAGCTTAGTGAAGTTTGAAAAGCATCCCATGCATTATTCTTTCACTTATACAGATACCGTTTCAAGGTTCTTAGAGCTAAAAAGGGATGCTATTTAAGATTTTCAAGACCTTTAAGGGTTATTTTGAAATTTAAAGTTTTTAAGAATAATCAAGCCATACACAAAGCCTATTTTAACACACCTATTCTTCTCTTCCAATTCTTTGTTAATTTTACGTTTGAACTTGGGCAGTAGCTGTTGAAGCAGCTCCTTCACATCATTCCTGTCCTTTATTTGTACTTCAATACCCATGGGATTCACAAAATGGAAGGTAGTAGCATCACCACTATGTAGTACTACTTGTAGCTGAATTTTTTGCTTTCCTTCAGGTGATATCTTCTGCACTTAAATTAAAATATAAAATGTATGACAGTCATGATATGATATTTACATTTGTATATGTTAGTATACTGATTAACTTTAGAAATTCTGATATTAAATTTTACTATCAATAATGTTTAACAACAAAATGACTCAAAGAGTTCAAACACGTATGCTTTGTAACTGCTTGGCTTTCTTTTGGGTTGGACACTGAAAAGTTAACATTTTCTTTATTGGAAAATCTATTTCAGACAGATACTCACCTCACTTCACAACAAAGACCTGGTACCTCATGCCACTGCCATGAAGATTTTTGTGCATGCCACAAGCCTTGAGCAAAACTCCCACCCCTAAATGTATTAATGTAGACTGCAACATCCCATGATAAAATCATCATTAGACTATAGCCCTCCGCTAATAGGAGAGTGACACATCCTCCATGCACAGTAACTCCCATGAGCACCAGCATTTGAACAAAGGCTCATTCTTGACAAGGAAAAAAAACGTACATTGGACATAGGGAGGAAAGGTGAGAGGTTGTGCAGATAGGTGAGTATTTTCAAGTAAGGAAAATGTTAACTTCAGAAACATTTACTCACCTCTTTGCACAACAAAAAACTAGAAACACATACTGATAAGACGGTGGAGGATCTGGTGTACATATGGAAATTTTGTTAACTTCAGAAACATTTACTCACCTCTCTGCACAACAAAAAACTAGAAACACATACTGATAAGATGGTGGAGGATCTGGTGTACATATGGAAATTTTGTTAACTTCAGAAACATTTACTCACCTCTCTGCACAACAAAAAACTAGAAACACATACTGATAAGATGGTGGAGGATCTGGTGTACATATGGAAATTTAAAAGATGAACTCCTATCTGAAATCATAGCATCAAAAAAGGGAAAAAACCCATGAAGTATGTTACTCACTGAAGGGGGGGTTATGGTATGGTGGTATGGTAAAAGGTACTGTGAAAAGAACCATCTATATGATGTTAAATTGTCGCATAGGTTAGTAGTATGAAAGACTCTCCAAAATATCTTGTGTAATATGGCTAAGGCAGTAAGTCAGGCCATACACTAGTGGTGAAATACCTGCTAGAATGATCAGATGCATGAAGGGATCATTCCAAACCAACATTGCAAGGAAAACACAAAACTCACCTGTCTGGTCTAACCACTGGGAATGGTATCAGGGGTGGCTTATACAGCACTTTAAGAAAAATAACAGCCCTACGTCTAATTGAGGGCTGCATCCATTAGGTATCATGCCAATAGGGTTACACCAACCCATAGGGGATCTCTCCATATTGACCTTAGGACCGTGGCAGCAACAAAAGAAGGGGAATTTGCTTACTGGAAAACACTCAAGAGATGCTCAGACTAAATAGAAATCATCACATCTGCATAAGGTCCCACACTTGTAGACTGTGTAATGGGTTACCACGAATATGGACAGCAGATGCTAGCCAGATGATAAGTCAAGCACACACCTGGTGATTTAGTTTTTATTTTTCCCTGAAAGATAACCTGGAAGATAAAATATTTATACATATACTGCCACAGATATACTGCAGAAAACCCCAACTCAATAGCAGGCACAGACCAGGGGCAGATGGACTGACCACTTTCTGTTATCACTAACTCAAAGTTGATTTCAGGAGAGGTATTCTTTGTGGTTCCATCATTTCCATGAGAAAGATATATAGAAATAATAATGTAGTTGTGAGACATGCAAGAGAAAGAAAGACAAAAGTAGCAATTCACCTACATAGAGGCTCTGTGAAAACTGAGGAATGGTAACTGAAGGGAGATGAAATCATAACATGGTGTAAGTACTGTGACATAACAGTACATCCCTGCCTGTAAGATCTCATCCGATAGGCGTTGATGGCTAGAGGCAAGAGAAGTTGTAAGAAGATGAATTTGATGAGAAGAAACATGAAAAGATCAAAAAATGTCATCACACAGAGAAGACAAAGCTAGCCAGATGAGATGTATAACCCGACAAGTCAAAGTGAAAAGAGAGAAGTTACTAGAAGAAGAGGAATCCTATGGCAAGAAAAGAGATCAATTGCCTTGAAAAGAGGGCAGTATGAGTGAGATAATAACAAACAGCCCATACAGGACAAAGGAGACAATTGAAATTTGAATGGGGAAGAAAGGTAAAGTAGGTTGATGGGATAAAACATACAATCTCCATCCTGAGCAACCAAAGTTAAATGGAGGAAGGAGAGGTCAGGAAATAATATGAAATTGTTCATGTGGTAAAGAGTGATGGAGGTGTGCAAGTAAAAATGTCAAAGCAATGCCTCCCACAAGTGAAAAGGAGAAGAAAATATGTTCTAAAAGAGGAATGGTACAGGGTGTATGTTACCAATGGTTTGAGTGGGAGAAATGTGAGAGCCATAAGAACTGTATAGGGGTTCCAGTTCAGTAGAGAAACCAGATGAGAAGGATGAATATGTAAAAGGTTCTATAGAGATCTTTAAGAACCAGAGAAAGAAATGTAGAATTGATGTACAAAAGCATTCCATTATCAGTGATAGGAAAAATGAAAAGAATGCAAAGAGAAGTAAAAAAAAAGTCATTTAACCAATCCAGACTTACACCATCCTTGCCAGAGCTGGAAAATCTGGAACTGGAGAACAAAAGAGTGGAAGCTAGGTGTTAGGAAGAATCAGAAAGGCAGCAATGAAAGGACTACTTAAGCAGAGGCAAATCCACTGAAAACATAAGAAGGAAAAACAACACCATTTGAAGGATCTAGTCTAAGCAAGATAGTTGTTCCATCGTGAGAACTGAAGCTCCCTAAACATGATGGACTAACAACCAAACATGGTTTTGGGCCCAAAATAAAATATCTAGAGCTAGGAGAATAGAGGTCCCAAAAATGAGTGCCTCCATGTAAGCAGATGGAAGAAATTATAGAGGTGTCTAAATAGAACAGAAAAAAGACCAGATGTTGAGCAGTCAACATCTCAAGGTCATTGATAACAAGACTGCTCCTCTAGAGTCCACAAAAAGAGATAAATCCTCTTGCATTAGAAAATAAAGAAAAAATACAGCCTTGGAATCAAAACTTCCATATCTCAAACCAGGAGGTCAGGAATCATGGACTTGAGATCACAATGAAACCAACCACCTGGTGTACAATGGCAGTAACAACACTGTCTATCAGTATCCCCAGTTGGCATTACAGCAGAGGATGACTTCAGTTGAGGAGTGTCAGAATTTCAGGAGATAACAGAAAAGTAGAAACACAAATTTGTAATCCAGATTATCCACAAAACTATCTGAATTATTTCTTTTTATAAATAAAAGTTTACCTGGTATGTTGATGGTACATAGGCCTAGTTCACTGATATCATGATGCCATTGAAGAGCACTTAACAAAACCTATATGCTGGGTTAATTTGATGGGAAATAGTACTGTCAAAAAATAAATCAAAGACAATGGAACACATGTCCCAAAATTACAAACTTGATTAAAAATTCAAACTAAAACGTTTAAAGTTTAATATCTTTCTTTCTTGTAATCAAGAACAATTATGGAAAGAAAGATTACACTGCAAATGGTAACAAAAGTTTAAAATAGTAAGTGCAAAAAGCCCTAAGAAAAAAAACGTTTGAAAAAAAGCAGTGTTGAAAAAAAGGATGGGCCTTTGTTCAAGTGTTATTGTTCATGGGTATTACCACACATGGAGGATGTGTCACTTTATTGGCGAAGAGCTACAGTCTAATGATAATTACATCATAGTCTGGCGTAGTCCACAGTAATACATGTAGGCTTCAGGCATGCACAGTACTCTTCTTCTCAATGGCACAAAGTAATAGATCTTTGTTGTGCAGAGAGGCGAGTAAACATTTCTAGATTAATGTTTGTCTTAACAGTATAACCCTTTCATAAATTGCAGCTATGACCACAAAGAAATAGTTAAATGAGAAACTTATACCTTTCTATTAGATTCCTTGCCCAAACTTCACAAACTATTTGCACAAATAATTACCCTGTTTTTTACGTAACATCATTACTTATAAAAACATGATTTCTTTTAAGTGGCAATTATTTTTCTACTGTTTGATAACACTGGTTGATCTGAACATATCGGCATAAACACAGTTTCATTTAACACACATTGCATTAGTATTGTGCTCAGAGAAACAAAGTTACATCTCTGAAAAGCCCCAGCATCAATAAATTACCATTAAAAAGATGTAAAGATAGACACAAGTTAGCATTAAAAAGTTTTCCTGAAATTCTCACAAGTAAAATACAACCAATGCTCTGAAACTGTTTAAGTACATGATATTACTATTACATTTGTCATAAGACATTAGTGTTTAGAAATGTAATAGGCCTAATACTAACATCTTATGATAAATATAAATGATATTACTAGTTTAAAAATAGCATCATACCATAGTTTGATGATAGCTAGGAATAGGAAAACAAACACACACTAAAAAAATATTTTGAACTTTTCAAGATTTAATAAAAAGTTTCCTTTTGTGAATAATGCTTTTAAACTATTCTTATCTGAAATCAATATTACACATTTTATAATTAGCATTCTGTTATATATCTGTATATATGAGAAATATGGAAGACAATAAACACAAGAAAAAAGAAATTAAATGTGACTGGTATGCAATATAAACAAAATTTGATTACTCCATGACAAGAAATACAACCTAAGTTGTGCAAAAAACATCCCATAATTTTTCTATTTTTAATTGTTTAAAAAGATAAAACATACTCATTAAACACAGATTCATAAATTTAAAAACTGAGCTACAAACACTGCTATGTTTAGTTTTTATATCATTCTTTTAGTTTCAAAAGTGTCTTGAACTAATAAAATCTGTCATAACACCACTGGTGTAAAAACTAGTTACAATTAGTTGAATACTTTTGTAATGGCATATCTAACAAATTTAATTCTTATGCTGAGAACACAATAAGACTTCTTTAATTATAATATTGGTATCTCCAATACTATTGAAATTGATAAAAACTGAACAGGAATTTTGTACTTTTTCCAAATATGAGGGTAACCCGAGTACTAGTAACAGACTTACATCAAAAAATAAATATATGCTAACAAAAAAAAAAAGATGAAAATTTGAAATATAATAATAAAGTAACTTCCATCACTTTCCCTTTTTAGCTAATTTCCAAAAAATATCCAATAAAATTCATACTTACTTTTAATGTCAGCATACATGTGACTCACAGTGAATGTGTCCTTCCCATCCAGCATCCACGCAATTCGTTCAGCCATTAGATACAAAGTCCCATCACTCTTTTTATAACGAACATGGTTAACCATCAACAAAACATCTTCTGACGATGTTCCCATTTTGTAAATTCTTGATCACATATAACACCTTGAAGTTTGGGAAGGGTAAAAAAAAAATTATTGTAGAAGTTAACAGTATATCGATATCCTTCAAAATAACAGAAGTGAACTAACATAAAAATATGAATGGTAGTGTTTTTAATCACTTAACTTTTTTTTTGTAGCCTAATTAATATAAATCCTGATAAAACTAGCCCTTCAGCTAAGTATATATAAGTTGTGACTCAGACAGTCCAAAGAGCTCTAATATTCAGCAGACGGCCTTGTCGGCAACATCATTCAATGTGCAATGATTAATTGAGAGGTACAGTTCTCTTGCTGCAAATTGAACTGGGTCAGTGAAGTCCTCAAATTTGTTATCCTGAAGAAGACTGTGCTCTAATAGCCTAATTGCTATATAGAATATAACTGTGAGTGAATTTACAAGATTTATCAACTGACAAATATATTTTGTAGGAAGCATAAAAATAATTATTGTTACGAAAAGGATTGTATCTTACTTAGTAGTTTTGATCAAAGAGAAATATTACTGAAGATGGTTTTGACACAAGAAATCAAAAGGTATGTCTATTCACAGATACACTTTCACTTAGTGAGGGTAAAAATATTTAAAAAAAATTGTACTTAAAACAAAACAAATCTTAGGTAAAACTTTTCTTTTTTTAGGAATACTTACAAGTATCAGCAAAATATTTAAATGACTTTTAAAAATTCAACAGGTACTACTCAAATCTGTATCAAATTCTTATTAGGACACTCTTACAATGTTTTATGTAATTTTACTTTCCTTGCTTTGAGCAAACCACCAATTTACTGGGAAAGTCTACAAAACAGGGATACTCAAATGATTCTGAGTTCTTAACAGATGTTACCTGAATGTTGTTAGACAAAAGCACATATTTTCAACTTTAAAACTTTCAAGGCAAACTTTAAAAAAAGGTATTTGATTTTAATCAAGATACAATGTACAGTAGTAAATGGTGAATTAAATGTTAAAGGCTGTCTCTGTAATTTTTGGAAGCTTATGTACAGGCATATTCTTAGACAAAATACAATGTTCTTCATGTGACTGAGTTGATGGTTTATAGAAAAAGATGATGAGTGCTGTTCAGTTCCTTCATGTCTCCAAGAGGAAAAGCTAGACCTAAGTATAGTTACAGTATAATACCACTAGCTTGTGAGTGGGCAGCCAGAAACACAAAATCTATTGCCAGATTTGAGATCCACGACCCTGAAAACCTACTTCTAGACTCTAATCATGAGTGGGTGATATTCTAGGCATGTTTTTTGTTGAACTGTTAGAGAGGCTACACCATAAAGATAAGAATACCTCTCTCCCTTCTCCAAGCTGTATTTATAAACAGAGTGAATTTCAGAGATCTGAACCTATCCTGTTATGACAACCTTAATATCACCCCAATAACCCTCTGAATCCTTTCCAACAATTCAATGTCTTTCCTACTGTAAAAAAGTCCAAAATTTAACACAATATTTTAAGTGTAGGATAACCATCGACCTGTACAATGAAATCATAACTTCTTTAAACTAGTATTAATATTTCTGTAGATACAATCATACTTGTTTTACCAAAAGCAACAGCACACTGCTTGGATGGCTTAAGACAGTGCTTTTCAACTGGGGTTCTGCAGAACCCTTGGATTCTTCAACAAACATCCAGGGGTTCCACAGAATACAAGAGTTCCATGTATTCTAATGCATACAAGTCACATAATTTCAATCAAACTAAACCATTTCTTTATTAGTAAGGCTAGTTTCATAATGACAGAACATAACAAATCACTGCATTGTTTTAAATTAGTAAGTGAGACTAGGTACAAACAGCTGCTTGAGTCATGTAAACTTTTATTAATTGAGAAAGCATGCTTTTCATTATGTGTTTGTGTGTGTGCTTCAGTAATTGGCTCGAGAAATTTTTCATGCTTTGCATGAATGTGTATGGGTATATACCTACATTAAACATACATTCTCTGTCTGGAATTACTCATTTAGTATTGCAGCAATGATTTTTGTCATGAATACTGTGAAGGGTTCCATGACAAAAATTTGATGCTAGAAGAGTTCCATGGATCAATGGCATGGAACACCAAAATCCAATAAATAATTTTAAAAAATGTGATTCTCCGGAAGAAAACCAGAGGTTTTCAGGATTTTTTAGAAATATCCGGAAGACTTTCATTATTATCCTTTAAAAAAAAGGAGTGACATTAGCGATTTCCATTCCTCTGGCACCTGTCCACTGTCCAAGTGGCTCACATATCAAATCCTTAATCTTTTTCAAAACCTTTAGATAAATATTTCCCCGGGAACATTATCAATTTTTAAGCTTCCCAATTTTTTCTTAACAAGCTCAAAATTAATGCGACCATCTTGTTTGATCTTTTTTTTCTGTCTATAACTATTCAAGATGAGGAATAATGCTTTAATCTTCATTAGTAGAAACTGAAGAAAAAGTAGAATTGAATAAGAAAGCCATCTCATAAGAGCCTTCCTTTATCATCCATCAAAGGCCCTACTAATGACCTAGAAGTGTTACATATTATTAGACAAGCAGAGTTAAATAAGCAACTTTTCAGCAATCAACAGTTTTTGAATTTATAATGAGTATTAATTTGCTGAAGTTTTTTCACTAAAGCAATCTTACCACAAGTAAGAATGGTTAAGTAACAATGTCCTCTGCAAATTTTGCAATTATGTACGAGTGCATTTTCTTTGTGAAATGTAATTTTCTCACACAATTCCTTAACCTTATTTTATGCATAAAATTTTAAAAAATGGCATTACAAATGTAGTTCAAAATTTTAATAACTAACTTATTCTATCACAATTTATTTAAAATATTACCTTCCATATACATGCAGTTATAAAATGAATATAACTTTAATGTACTAATAATTAAATGCAAATGAATGTAATTTCTAATTAAGTTCATCTTTAAAATAATTTATGTCACACTGGCAGGTGAGTCATCTGTTACACTGGCTTCTAACTTATAGAGCAGTCAAACAATCATGTAGTGTGAAATCATATTATTGGATTGTATATCATTTAGCATTTAAACCCAAGTGAAGAACATTTAGAAAGCTTCTACACCATTTAACCACAGTATGTCATACTAACTGTACATAAATCACTGTAGTAATGTTATGTAAAACTGACTTTGTCTTTGAATATTAGTGTAAAAAATTGTACTTGCTTTCTTTTGTTCATTTAGCTGACGATACATAGCATTACACAAAGGTGGCACCCAGTAAGTTAGCTAGACAATAACATTGAAGGGGCTGCACTCTACATCATGTGGGCACACATACTGTAGTATTTATGAAGTGAACCAGCTTGAACAGTAAGTATTATTCTCTTTGTGAGAAGATACAGAGAAGGTTAACACACATTTTGTGATAGCTTCAACCCCAGCAAGCTACCCCCACATACACTTACTACTGATACCAGCATAAAAACTTCTACCAATTTGTACAAATCATTAAATATTAATACATTTCCAAGTCTTAGCCTTTTTTGACAATCAAGAACTAAACTAATTGCAATCATGCCCACAAATTACTTAGTGTATACTTATAAGTTATATACAATTTTTGATTCCATAGTTCTGTTATCAAGCATCATGTTATCAATCATATTTATACACAGGGCTATGTCACTTCGTATAATGTATTATTAATATTAGCAAATATAAATAACAAAATATTTTTCATTAAACCTAAACCTTTTTTTTTTCTTATGCAATAAATAACATATGATGAAATACACTACTTGACCACAATCCCTGGTCGCAGTTTGTAACTTTGCTTTGGTTCGTTATGATCTGATTTTACTGTGCATTAACAGTCTTGGGTTAACTCACTATTTTACCTTTTAAGTATTACTACTAATGCTATTACGAGTTAATAATCTTTTTTACTTTTTAGGCTTATCACTAATACGTAACTCTTATCGTTTAAATTACACGATAAACGGATGAAATACATCTATATTAGCATATTTTAACGATTAAACTATTAATTAACTTTCGTAAATTTTTAATAAACGAAATAATGATTAATGTAATTAAAAACGTTCAACTCAATACAACTTCGTTTCTTGTATCTACTGTAGGCTGCCATGTCGAATAAGAAGCATCATGGGAACCGGAAATACAGGTGGTACCCGTGGGAACAGAAACGTTTTACCATAGTAACAGCAACAAACACAAAATCCATAGAATAATACAATATACTTGTCACAAGCAGGTAACATTTTTAATGTTGATTGGCCTTGTATAATAAATAACCTAGAATGCAACGAGCTTAAAAAAATTGGCAGTATTCAAGGGATTCAGAACATTTCAAGCATATTCAATATTTCGCTATGAAGAAAGTAAGTACCGGTAAGTAGACTCAATCGTATGTACATAGGCACAGGTTTTATAAATAATGCAAGGAACGATAAATGGGCAATGTTACTTTATGTTATCGTAAACTTGCTTCCTCTAGATGCAGGCACGAGGAAATATATGGATGAGTAACAGAAACATTGCACTACAGTGGCGAGTGTCAAATAGGCGATTGCTTTTGGTTTGTGATTTTTTAAGGCTCAATAGACAGTTTGGGCACAATGAGTTATATTCACGTGGGCGCCCACACTATTTTTTTTTGGGGGGGGGGGCAAAACATATATGTAGGGGATCAGCTTTTACAGTCTAAGTCAACAGACTAAAAGAATATATGTTATGTGTGCTTAAACGCAAACATAAATTTAAAGTTTAAATAAAAAACTCACTAGAAATACTTAGTTTAACTACGATATTAAGTTTTCATCATAATATGTGCAATTTTTTTTTAAATGTTAGGGGGGCGAATGCCCCTCTTGCACCTTCTTGCGGGCACCCATGTTTATTCGTACTTCATGAACTACTTGAACTGTATCGCAAAATTTAAAAAGTATTAACAACAAAACAATAACATAAGATTCAGCAAAGTGACAGGACGTCGTTGAGCTCATAAAGTTCAACTTTCACATATCACAGCAACTAACTCGATTTTAACAAATGAATTAGAATCAATGTACTTATCCAACAAAAATTTAACTACATTATCAGGAAAACTGTATCACAAAATGATAAGTTGAACAGAGAAAGATGATCATCAAGCTATGTTGAAGAATAAGTTTAGATATGGATTTTCAAAACTTAAATTATCAGTTTCTCCAATATTCAGGTTTTCATTTCTAACCTAATTATTTACCACTTAGGCTTAAGGAAATTTCTAATAGGAAATTATCCAAACCTTTGAGCACCAGAAGTGTGTCATCTCTAAATCTTCTTTTCTGTAGACAAAATTCGTCGGAGTCTTTAGGCCTACTTCATATTGCAAAATCCTTAAATCTGGTATCATTCATTATTTTAACCGTGTTGTTTTCCTTCCTCTCATAAGAATACCAAAAACTAAACATGCTTTGCGGAAGATTTTATGTAGATACGTACCAGAAGTGTACTCGTTTTGCTACAACTAAACCCTCAGCCGAAGATTTCGATTTATTAACACCTATAATTACACCACAGTCCCTTTCTTTCAATAACCTTCCCAGTTTTTTTTTTTCCTACTAAGGTTATCTGTCGCTGTCCCTAATTCTGAACTACTGACCAGAAGGAAGGCATCCAGTCAACAGTACTATACCACCCATTGTCTACCTTATAGGATAACTGTCGCTCTTACAATGCATCAACATCTTAAACTACAGGAAATATTTTGTGGTTTGACAGAGTGAAAAAGTAAAATCTACAAATGCCAATGTCGCACAATCTAAATAGTTGCCTACTTGCTTAAGTTGTTGTTTGTTGTTAGTTTCTTTTCGCGCAAACCTACACAATGGACTATCTGCGTTATATCCATCGCAGGAAATCAAATTAAATCCGGATTTCAGCGTTGTGAGACCATAAACATACCGCTGAACCACTGGAAGCCCCATTTTCTTAAGACTGCCCTGAATTAAAGAAATTTCTCCATGGAATTGATATTCCTAGTTTCTTAATATTATTAGCAATTTTTGTATAATTAGCGTCTAAGATGCTCTCCAAACTTTTGGGATAAACAATGAAAATTAAAGAACCAAAAACAGGCCTTTGTGCTATCCCGCTAGTCACATAGTAGAGATTTTCCAAACTGTTGAGATAAACAATGAAAATCAAAGAACCAAAAACAGGCCTTTGTGCTATCCCGCTAGTCACATAGTAGAGATTTTCCAAACTGTTGAGATAAACAATGAAAATCAAAGAACCAAAAACAGGCCTTTGTGCTATCCCGCTAGTTACATAGTAGAGATTTTTGTTTCTGCTGCTATAGAGTATTAGTCGCACTTTATTTCAATCGTATATATTAATTCTGTGGAGTGTTACCGCAGATGCAAACTTTGATGCTATATGCGACATATTTAGCACTTGTATATATTTGGTTGACAGAGAATTCCCAACCATTCAATGCCATAAGTAGACTTATACATAGACAGATATAAGTTTATTTGTAATTAAGCACAAAGCTACAAAATGGACTATCTGTGCTCTGCCCACCACGAGTATCGAAACCCGGATTCTAGCGTGGTAAGTTCGCAGACATAGCTGTGCCACTGGGGGGCCTTCCATAATGAAAATATTCATACGGAGATACTGTCCACCGATATACAGCCAAAAAATAAAGTGAAGTAAAACGTTTCGAAAAGGGAAATTTCGATGTGCTATACAAAAACGAAACGGGTTCTGAAATAACATAATAACCCAATCTAGAGCAATGCCCTTATCCACATAGTGAAGGCTATGATTATAATATAATGGAAGAAAATTATCCGATCTCACATAAAAAAGAGAGATAAGGCTGGTCATATCTCCTAGTACCATTAACAAAAGTTAACGAAAGCCAATAAGCCAAAAATCCACAAAATTCTTGACACGCCTCGAAATAAACGACTGTTTTCCAGAGAAAGCTTGTTTGTTTGTTACGGATTTCGCGCAAAGTTACACGAGGGCTATCTGCGCTAGCCGTCCCTAATTTAGCAGTGTAAGACTAGAGGGAAGGCAGCTAGTCATTACCACCCAGCGCCAACTCTTGGACTACTCTTTTACCAATGAATAGTGGGATTGACCGTAACATTATAACGCCCCGCGGCTGAAAGGGCGAGCATGTTTGGTGGGACGGGGATTCGAACCCGCGACCCTCAGATTGCGAGTCGAGCACCCTAACCACCTGGCCATGCCGGGCCTTATGATAAGACATATAGCAAAAGTGGTTGCAACCGGCCTCTTGCCTCTCTGTAGTTAGAGGTACTTGAAGAAGCATCGAGGAACGTACTGTGAAGGGACGCCACGAAGAAAGGGAGGAGAGTTTCTGTTTTGGCCGGCTAAACTACGTTAGCATGTAAATCAAATCGAATTTCGTGAAGATTTCAATTTAACAACTTATTCTGACTGGTCGATTCTACCGCTAATATTTTTGTGTTTGTTTTTTGTCAAAATTTCATTTTTTAACAGACTTATATTTTTTAATATCAAGGTTTTCTTGATGATACCCTAATTCATGTTATATAATTTATTTCTGCATAAAACTTGAAGGGGTCTTATACAGATTATAATGCGCAATTAATATTACGTTGCTTTATTTTTTTCGTCATGCTTGTTATGTGTATTCTATGAGCATTGAATAGTAATTAATGATAACGTTGGAAGATTTTATCGTTTTAAACCCGTAAACGCACCGCTGTCCCACCAGAATTTTATTGAATAGTCAACATGGTTTCATTAAGGGAAATTCTTGACTTACAAATCTTTTGACATTCTTTGAAAAGGTTACTGCTTATGGAAATGAGGTAAAGGGTGTAGATTTGGTGTACCCGGATTTTCAGAAAGCATTTGACAAGGTGCCACATAAAAGACTTGTAAAAAAAACAAAAAAAAAAACATTTCTATAGGTGTGAGGGGGGGGGGAATTAGCAGATTGAATAGAAGAGTGGGTGGATTGGAGAAAGCAGAGGGTTGTTCGGATATTGTGGAGGCAGTAAATTTAAGTGAGTTTAAGAGAAAGCTTGATAACTATATGAATGATAAGGGCTGGCTTTAAATTTATAATACTTTAGTTTAGAGGATGTGACAGCCGAGATGGACCAATAGATCCCTTGTTGTCCCTAAACATCATGTTATGTTATGTTAAATACAAAAAATATTCGCATTTAGTATAATTTAGAGCACTTTTGTTAATAAACGTTTTTTTATGTGTGTTTAGATGTTTCGTAGAATATAAGAATGTCAAAACTTCTGCAAACTGGGGGATTGTTATCACGTAGTGTCTCCTTAACAGTGAACTTGTTACTTACTAACGAACTAAATGTGAAGTATTAATTTCTACGTTTTACTGCACACTACTTACTGTTGCGTGAACCATATAGTCTACCACGTGAACATGTTTCGGTGTGATGAGTATCAGAGTACTTATCTACAATTGTTCAGATTGTATTGTGTATGGAATATAATAACATGTTATGATATAAATATTTGTTTGTTTGTTGTTTATCACAAAGCTATACGATCGGCTATCTGTGCTTTGCCCAACACTGGTATCGAAGCACGGTTTTTAGCGCTATAATCCTTCAGACTTACCGCTGAGCCACTTTGGGAAGAGGAAGGGGGACAAGTAAGCCTTTGACAAACACTCTGACAAGTTCACGTGTAATTCTCAAACAATTAAGAAAACAGTTAGTTGCAAATTGAACATTTATTTTACGCAATTATGGATTTAGAGATTAACATAAAGTTAAGATTTAAAAACTTAACTAAATTTTTGTGCCCAAAGTTGGTTATTTTTTTCTTGAGCATTTTATTTCAAATGAAGTTTTGACTTCCACTATTATTATTATATAAGCTATTTGTTTTTCTAGGAGGACGAAAGAGGAAAGCGAAGGTTGTTTTTGGATCAATCCAACAACGCCCTCTTTTGCCCAGCTCAATTCCTATGGATCGCATGGGAGTGGCTTTATGTATCAGTAGTTCTTCAAGCCTTGGACCAGGATCATACGATTGTGATAAAGTGCTTTTTTTTGTTTTTATTAATTATGAAGTTGTTATAATTAAAACAAAAATATCAATATATTTTT